CTTCCTCTCGCTACGGCCTGCAGTACAGTGTTTGATTCGCCCCACGAGTATCTCGAGGAGAGCAAAAAGACACCGAAACGCTCGTTCCAGGCTCTGTTCAGTATCAATGCGTTACGAGATCTTGAGCCGCGACCCAAAGATGTCTTGCGAGACGCAGTACTCGGTATTATAGATACCATATCCTACCATCTAATGGCAATGGTGTATATCGCCTCGTGCGGACCGTACCGTTTTCCAGAGATCAGGGTTTTGCGCGTTTCGGGCCCACAAAAGAACATCTTTGTCGACGATAAGCTGCGGCGGATCCAAGTTCTGACTAACTACACGAAAAACGGCAGCAACAAGCCGCTAGCAAAGGAGCTAGACAAGAATACTTCGGACTATTTGTTCTACTTTCTCACCGTTATCAAGACCATTCAAATCTCGCTGCTTGAAGATTACGACCAAGTGTCACAGGACATCTTTGGAGAGAGTGTAGACGGGGTTGAGGCGCATCTGTACAGCGACGGACTGCAGGATATGACGCCGTATGAGCTATCGCAGCAAGTTATTCGCCAGTTCGTTTTTGTAGACATAGCAATCGCCAAGCTTTGTGAGTACTCTAAATTCAAGAAACTATTGATGCTGTACCCGTCAAACATTGCGAAAAGACAGCGGCTTAACTTTCGAAGTATGCGACACGGAATGATCGGACTGCTTCGTGACTATGTCTCACAGCACTATAATAGCGAGCATCACCAACCAGATACGGAAATAATCGAAACTATGGCTGGCCATAGCGCCCAAACGGGACTTAAAGTGTATGCGGTGGACGAAACACGCCTTAGTGAAATTGCTCAGGAACAGATCCTGATCAGCAGAGCGTACGTGAAATATCTTGCCCTGGAGGATCTGAAAGGCATTAGAAAGACAGAAGAGACGCGTGTAGCAAAACCGGTGGTAAATACATGGCATCCGCGTACTTCCATGAAAAAGCTACGGTGTGCAATACAAGCAGTGTATGGAGTAGGATTTCAGTTTCGTGGTGAGCAGCAGACCATCTGTCATGACATATACATGTCAGGCTCGCAGGTTATTGCGGTTCAAGCGCTCACAGGCTTTGGGAAGACAGCCGTGTTTCAGTTGCCGCTCGTAGCGATGCGGGACGAAAACGCGGTGTCGTTTGTATTTGTACCGTATACAGTTCTGCAATCAGATCTGGAACAGCGGCTAGCCAAAGGCGGGCTTAAGGTCGGCCGAGTCAAAGCGTTGCTCGACAACCCATCGCGCGGCAGCCTTTGCAATGCGTATGTCGGGACCTTCAACGATCTCGGGCGAAAAGAGTTTGTGGAGCTGCTTCTAACATGGGATTTTGATACTCAACTTGGGATGCTGGTGATTGATGAGTTCCATAACTTGGTCTATGAGGAGTATCGCGCCAGTGCATTCAAGCTTATTCCTAACGTGCCGTTTCATAGCTTCTGGAAGGTAGTGCTTCTCACAGCCACCGCGGGTAGGTCACTAGACCATGCGTTGAGCTTTCTACCGCTGGAGGAACTAGAGGTGTCGGACTGGAACCTAGTGAAGCAACCCGCGGTATCCCATGTGAAGAAGCGGTTCTTTGAGGTGGCAGACCCCATCGCAATGGCGTTTCGGTACCTTTCCAATCTTCCAGAGAGGGCCAAGGCAGTGCTTGTATTTCGTACCAAGGAGGAGCTGGCCCAAGCAGACGCGCTGCTAAAAATGCCGCATGAGATGGTGCATGGGGAATTGAAGTCAGAAGAAAAGCTTTGTCGCATGCAGAGATTCATTAACAGTCCGCTGTTACCTGTGCTCATGGGCACAAAGCTTGTGACCGAAGGCATAGATGTGAAGGAACTTACGCTCGTGTTGCTGGTTAACTACCTACCCCCTGTAATCGAGTATATTCAGGCAGCGGGGCGGCTGCGTAATGGCGGTGACTGCGTGGCGTTGTTCAAGCGAGAAGCCATAAAGGAGGATTCTATCAGCCACAGGTGTCCCACACGCGATATATGTACCTTTTATGGACTGCCTTTTATGGGCCATGCCAATTGCTGTATGGAGACTACGGACACGTCACAAGAAATGAGCTCTACAAAGAGGTTACAGAATGCTGCTGAGGACGAGGAGCCTGAAAAGTCGAAATTACCTCCGGCAAAACGACGAGCACCCGATGAGATGGCCACACAACAACGAAAACTCATGCAGGAGTTTGAGGGATGCCGAGGTGTGCTCCAGTATCTGGGTGTAGACCAGAG